GCAATGTCGAAGAAGGAATAACTGTATTATAAATGAAAGAGACAAAACGACTTTTGTTCATTCATCAAGAATTCGTCGGGTCGAATCGTAAAAGTGGGTAGGTAGGTATAATGTGGAGGGTGAGGATCGAGTATTTAAGTATATTATAAGGTAGGGTTTGTGCTGTATGTAATATCGAAGTGAATCCGCGGATCTAGTCCGCGCCGTAGATAGAGGTCGTCACATCACGTCACTTGATTATTTGCTTTGCTGCAGCAGCAAAGTCACTAGGAGGTCTTTTTGCGACGGTGCACTTTCCACTCTGCTTTGGCGACACGCATGAATAGCTCGATGTCCTTGATAGGAACCCAGCTGGTGAGGACTTTCATGGCGTTCTCAAAGTCCGATTCGAGGATGATGTCGCGCATGCCGTCGATCAGGGCGGCGGAGGTCGCGTGGAGGACATCCAGTCCGTTGCCAAAGGCACTGGTGGGTGCGTCCTTTTTGCTGCCTTTGCCTGAAGAGCCGGGTGCTGTGAGGTCGTCGGCATCACCGAGGAGCATGAAGACGTCCCAAACGCGGAGCTGGGCGGGAAATGGGATAGAGTAGTTGAAAAGGGTCAGGTACCACCGCGTGCCGTATGCCGTGGGAGGAATTCCAAGTTCATTCTAGAATTTGGTTAGAGTCCTGTGTATCGAGATATATGGGAAGATGCTGTTTCACTCACCAGCTTGGCAGCTACCTCTCCTTTTTCTAGCCACTCTCGTTCAAAATCCCCCAAGGCCTCCATGAGGCCCGAGAAGCCGGACTGATACAGACGCTCCAACCCCCGTAATTGCCAAAGTCGCACGAGCATGATAAATGCATGTTCTTCGTCGTAGTAGGCGAGTAGAGTCGCAGCCAGGGCAGCCATGCCCTGCACGTATCCCGTGTCTGGGAAGTACAAGGACATCGCATGAAGTACTCGGAACAATAGTCGTTGGCCTCCGCGATACCGTCGCCGGAACATGATGTGACTGGTGATGGTTCTCGGAACGTCTATATCGATCTGGACATCATCGGGCGATGAAACCAATTGAAATTCATTGAACGCTTCAATTAGTTCCTCTTCCGAAGGGCTATCACTGTGCATTCTGGCGCTGGATTTCAAGAAGGCGTACCACGCGGTCGCTCGCCATCGGTCGGGGATGCCTTTCCATGTCCGCTCAATCAGCTTGGAGCTTGTCGTGTCAAACTCGAAGGTCATGCCACCGCCATCTCCGCTCCGCATGGGGCGGGCCATCTTTGTCCATTTATCTTCCCTTTCCCACTCTTTCTTTCTCGCCGCGCGGGCGGCAGCTGCGTCCTGTTTCTCACCCGGATTGAGAGGAGCTGTCGGGTGGGTGAGCATATCGCTCGCCTCATCTTTGACGCGGCGGTCGCGATTGTGTGGCAGATGGTTGGCGGCCCGACGAAACCGCGAGGTTGATCGTCGCATCATGGTCGTGCTATACATGCTGTGAGAAGAGGTTGGCCGTATGGAAGGCTCAGACATCTTCCGCGTCGGGGAGCGGCCTGTGAGGCCTGAAAAGGGACGATTTCCCCCGATGGCCGAGGGTGGACGGATAGAATGTTTCCGTCGTGGCGTCTCCGAAGCCATAAGTAGGCTGGTAGAGACACGCTGGATCGGACTGGGGTCAATGCCTTCGTTGGAGTTGGACGTCGGTGATCGGATGAAGCCGTACCGGTCGACATCTCCAGCCTTGATGTTCTGCCAGTACTCAATGCCTCCAGCTAACTCGTGAGCCTCTCTTTTGATTGCCGGTCCGTTCTCTGGACCGAGAGACGACACCACACTTTTGGTATCCACTGACATACTGGGTCCAGAAAGACGAGAGGTCTCCATACTGGTTGGGGTATCTTCCCACAAGATACCATTCTCCATGGCCATGGATTTTGCTACTTCTGAGTCTGTCACATTTTCTTCGCCCTTCTCATACATCAGCCGTACCCGTCGCGACAACATATCTTCGTCCGCAGAGATGGCTCTGCTTGCCATGGCGCTGTGCCTGACTCGAAGGGTCGAGACGGGCTTTGACCGCCTCGATGGCGTCTCGATGGTCTCCGGCTCTGTGCTATTTTGTTCCGACGAGGCGACATCAGGTGACACCGGTTCTCTGTCATCAGGTCCCCGTTGTTGCTGGTTGTCCCCATCCTGAGCTTGTTGAGCCGCCTCTCGTCGTCTTGCTTCCTCTTGTTCAATTTGCTGTTGTAATTGGCGTTTCGATTCCTCCTTGATAAGACTTCCGCGCTTGGAGAACCGCATCGATTGCGGTCCGAGACCATCGAGAGCCGAGTTCGGGATATCCAGAGCAATGCCATTGAAGGGGGCTTGAATCGGCGGTACAGGGGGGGCATCGTCATCTCGATCGAACTCGCCCGACTTCTTACTTCTCAGACCGCCCCATCTGCGCTCCGACCACCGCGAACCGGGACGAGATCCTGGGCGGGACGCAGGACGGGAGGCGGTATCATTGACAATGATACTGGGGATGCTATTGCGCAGTGAGCGCAAGCTTACAGTCGAGGCCCCAGCCTCTGGTAAGGCAGTGAACCTGTTCCGCCGCGATCTGGCATTCTGTTGCGACGGCGCAGGCCCCGACTGATCCCAAGCACTACCGGACGATGCGCTATGCGATGTTTCCTCCGAACACGAAGTACAATCCACTGGGGTAGGGTATGAGGCGGAGCGAACGGCGATAGGGGCCGTAGCGGCGATGGTGTCGTCGTAGGGAACGGTTTGGATGGTTGAAGCGGAGTCGGACATCACGACAGCAGGGACAGAAGAGGATCGCGTTTCTACCATTATCCTGGCATCGCTTGCGCCTTAACTCGAGGGAGGTGGAATACTTTCTGGACGGAGCTGCGAAGGGCTTTTGAGCCTTCTGGACGAGCCGGACGAGACGGTGGTGCACGCCGGTTTAACCAAGGGGGGGCGAGGGCGCGAGCGAAGGAGGGAGGGACAGGAAGGGAGGCGGGGAGCGTAGCAGGACTGTAGCCACAAAGGAACGGATGTGAGAACTGGGATTCTGGCACGAAAAAAGGGTCACGGATTGCGATTGATTAAGATTTGAAAATTGAGAATTATTAGGATTAAGATTAAACGGTCACACGACGGAAAATGAACGACACTGGAGGGAAGAGGTCTCTTGCGCAGCGAACCATGGCCCCCAAAATGGTTGCGAGGAACGAAGGCGGACGAGCAAAAGGGAAAGACGGAGGAGGGAAGAAGAATGGCTGGACCGCGGCAAAAAAAAAAAAAAAATAAAATAAAATAAAGAGAGTGAGAGAGCGTCAGTCAACTCAGTCAGTCAAGTCAGAGCCAGACTTGGCAAAGATGATAGCTTGCAAATAATAATGATGAAAAAGCAAGAATAATGAAAAGTATAAAAAAAACAAAAAAAATGGTAGGATGGTCGGAGAAAAGACGATGGGTGAGAGAGTTGGAAGGAGAGAAAGAGAGAAGGATTCAAGGAATGTGGTCACAATGAGGTGTATCTTTCTCTTTTGTTTTTTCGCAATGAGTTGGAGAATGAGGAAGCGGAAAGTGGAATGGAGAATCTCACCCTCCCGTTGATTTTGTATTGGTCGAAAGGAGTGTCTACTTGGAGTAGTAGCAGTAGGAGTAGTAGGAGTAGTTGTGGTGGTGGTTGTTCCTGAACAGTAGAAATAGTAGTAGTTATCACTAACTAGTATCCTACCATAAGTCAGCCCTGAGAATTGATTACCTCCTCTTGTAAATTCCCGTTACTAACGCAAGAGAAAAAAAAATCGATTATACTAGAAAATCAAGAACGAGGAGGAGGACGACGACAATAACGTCTCCTTCTTGTCTTCAACCAACTCCAAAGGCAAGGATCACAAAGGGGGGCCTGCGATCCACTATAGTATAATTAATTTAGTATCATTTAATTCCTCGGGAGGGCCACGCAGCAGTGGATCTTCACACGGTTAAATTTACGTTGGACTTGCCAGAATTTTGATAATAATAGAAATGGATACACTGCTAGTATCTAGTCTATCTAGCAAGTGACTCCATTCAATCCATTGGTACAGGAACTGAAGTGGGAGAGAGGGGGAGATTTATTTTCTATTATTATTATAATCATCTCCTCCTATCTTTACTTACCATCATATGCGATCGGGGGATTTGGAGGGGGGAGGGTAAGAGCATAATTCATCCCACGCCCAACAGGCAACGTAACGGTTTGTTTGTTGGGCCGGCTTTTATTATTATTACTCCAGGAGTTCAAAACTACTAGTGTGCTACTACTGACTAGTCACGGATTTGACTGTTTGACGGGTTGATCTTCTTCTTCTTCCTTCCCCCTCGTTTTGCGCACAAACCACCGAGAATGAAACTGGAAATTGGGGCTCTTCTCTTACTTACTCCTCCTCCCCTCGCCTATTATGAGAGAAGCATTACTTCCTACTTACTACAGTAACTTCTGATAGAGTTTCATTCCTACTATCTACAGACTTTCGTGCCTAGTTGCTTTTCTTACCCTCCTTTTGCGTTTGGAATTTTGGGGCTTGTAAATTTTCTTATTTATTTTTTATTTTTCCCTTCTATTCTCGGCTCGGTAGGGGATAGCGTCGGCTTCCTCCCTACTCCTAGTAGAACTACTAACCTTCTAGGTTGCGAGATAGACAGCAGGAGTGGATGATACTGACCCGGCCGAGGAAAGGGGAAACGTCAAGTCTCTCACTATTTTTCCCTACTAGACACTGTACACTAAACTACTAGCAGTGGCTTCGCTTCCCTCCCCCTTGACAGAGGGGGGGTTCGCTCAGGTGAAGAATTCAATCAAGTCTGTGTGAAATCCTCCGTCCTTTGTCTACTGCAATCCTACAATATTATATGCATGGATGATGATCTTACAGTTCCCGGTTTGTATTTCCAGGATCTCTACAGAAGCATCTACTACTAGTAGTATCCCGTAAACACTCTGGTCCACTTCCATGATTTGCCTACTGACTTTATTTACATCCGGCGTTACTTACATGCAAGGACTACTGCCCTTAGGGGCGATTCTTTATTCTCGTGCACTTCTTCTTTCTGCCCTTCTCCTTCGGCCAGCTTTCAGGCTTTTCTCAGAATAAAAAAAATAAAATCAAACCCTAATTCTTGTCCCCTTTCTTTCCCTTTAGATGGTGACAACCCACTGTAAAACTCCGAGAAGGCTAGAAACCAGCTTGCCTTCAATGCAAACAAACGGCACCGCGGCCTAGCGTGCCCCCAGTGCACACGGCCCTCCGACGCAGACCCGCACTTGGTCGACATAGGAAAAGCAGGGGTAAAAAGCATATTGGCACGGGAGGATCGATAGATTGGCCGTTCCCCTGCCAATGGTCGCAGCTTAATTCTTGATTCACGCGGCCTTCAGGCCACTGCTGCCGTGTTGATGCCGGAGCGAGACGCTTCGCGCGCGGACCGTGCTGGCTCAATCGGCTCCTTGGGAAGAAGCTCAATCTGGCGCACCAGGAAACTCTTCTCATCCGTAAATTGATCGTCGTCCGTCCGGTCCTCTAGGAACCTCGGTAAGAATTTCAACAGCCGATCACGGTTGTTGATCAGGATCCGCTGCACCGCAACCGATTTATTGGGGTTCGCAACAAACACCTGTAATGTAATAACGGTCAGTGGCCTGGGTCCTTGCAGCGGACCAAGCTAGAAGTTGCCCACATACCTTGAACACGTGGAAGCCCTCATACTGGACCATCTTTCGGTCGTCCCGCAGCAGTTTCATACACAGCTTGAGGTTCTCCCCACTCTCCACATAGGCCATCATCACATTGTAGTTGGTTCGGTCCAGAAGGATCTCTCCTAGTAGCTTGATGCTTTGTCGTTTAGTGACATACGAGCTGGACTGTACAAGTACCTCGTTGAATTTGGCGAAGAAGAGGTCAAAGTTTGTGGCTAGATAGCCCGTAACGATGGACTTATGGCGGGTCAAGATCTCCTGCAGATTATTTAGCTTCCAGGACGGCATGGTTTGAAAAGCTAACGAGCGCTCACCCTAAACGTTGTGAAAGAGTCGGCACTCAGTTCGAAGCTCCCTCGGTCGATCCAGTAAAAGAACCTCCAGAATATGCCATTGCCCTCTTGAGGCACGCCCGGCTGCACCTCCGTCAGTCGAATCGCTGGCTCCCCCTCTTCCGACTGATCATAGAGGATGATCGCCGCGATAACATCAAACTTCAGCGCTTCTCGCAAGATAGTGCCGCATGGCATGGCACTTTGGCTATGTTCGTAGCCCTTGCACAGTTCGATGATAATTTCGGGTCGTTTGTGAACAATGTAGGAAATGACAGGAGGGTCTGCATGGCTTGCATTGACGGGTTTGAAACGGAGGATGTGAGAGAAGATAGTTTGTGTGTCTTTTCGAGCTTCGAAGGGCAGACGATGAAGCCCTTGGGCTAGTTCGTAGAGCAAGTCTTCCTGCAGGGTAGCCTGCACTAATGCTTGGACTTGTTCAGGGGACACCTCAATCTCTAAGAGGTAAGATCACATTAGTCGACGTTCATTCCGAAGCCCATCTGGCGCCCCTGCACTTGTTCTGGGAGAAAAAGGGCCATTGGTAAGGGTTCATGCATGAGACATACCTTGAGTACCCTGGACAATGAGCTTCATCTGAGATAGTTGCTTCGCCAGATCATCTTCGACCTATCGGGGTACGGAATGGTCAGTACTCCTTTGTTTTGGAAGTTGCTTATCGGCAGCCGCAAATGTAAACATAACAACAGATCGGAGCGACGAACCTTGGCAGTGGTTGGCGATTCTCGAAGCCTCACCAAGAGTTCCTTGATTGATCTGGCAATGTCCGAAGGCTGGCGGGACCGACCGCGGTTGAAGAAGAAGGCCATGGTTGTTGTTTGTATTGGCAACAAAACCAAAACAGGGAGGGAGTGAAGGCGGAGGGGATAGTCGCTCCTCGCGGGCAGCACACTAGCTATAGGGACATGTAAGGGAAAGCAGGTCAAACAAACAGAGTGTCACAGACTCTCTGCAGCTGCAACGGTAATAACAGTGGTTTTCAAGGGGGGGTAATCTGGCAGGCGAGCAAGAGGGGATCGTTTGGTCTGGAAAGCAGTGAGGGAAGCGGTGACGCTGTTGTTGGCGGGGAAGCCGATGGCCTCAGGCTGTTATCGCAGTTCTGGGCCCGTCAGGTGGATAAACATTTGGAACAAATCAACCCAATCCAGTCCCAAGCCGGCGGGGCTGCCTTTTCCGAGAATTTTCTAATTTTTTCCCCTCGATTATTTGACTTTTTTTCTCCGGCGGGAATCTCGACTGAACCCCTCCTCCTCAGGTACTTCCATACCGAATTCTGTCGGCAGCAACCATTAGCTCCGACATTCTCTTCTTTTTCTTCTTGATATCTAGTGACAGTGTCTTTGATTCAATCTCATTTGGTTGTCGCTTAGATACCATACTATACCAGTCCCGCTCCTACGAAAAATAACCGTCTCAATTGGTTCTGTTTCCCCGCAGTTGCGCCATGTCTGCTTCCGCTCTCCCCTCTGAGCGTCTGCCCAGAGACGATGATACACGCTCCGTCTCTTCCGATAGCTCGGATGTAAGCAACGAGGAAGGATGGGAAGATGTCGAGCCCGATGATGATACCCAGCCCGTCGTGGGCTTGTTCTCCGAGAAGGTTTACCCCGACGTGCGGGCCATGCTCAAGGAGACCAAAGACAAGTACAACTTTGACCTGCGGAGGATTCAAAAGGAGCTCGGTGTGTAGTCAATTGTACTTGGATTTAGCATTCGCTATTTCCCTCTGCTGCTCAAGCCCGGACGATTGTCTGTTGGACGATGCATATGATATGAACTATGGCTAACCTATCTCTGCTTGTGTTTCGCTATCAGACCTGGACTTCTTGGGTACTATCAAGTTGGTCAATTATGTCCGAACTCAGGTGAAAGAAGGCAACATGTCTCCCGACGTCTCTTCCGCCGACAAATTCGAGGACGATGTTTATCTGAAGCCCGTGCTGGAGGATGATGCCCTTCTCTACAGTCTGGATGACATTGAGGACGAAACGCCCGAGACAACCGGTGGTTCTGACGCTGAAAGACGCGTGATTGAACTCCAGGAAGACCTAGAACGCCTGCAGACCCAGTTCTCCGAGTATAGAGAGGCCGTACAGAAGTCTATGGAAGAGCAATTGACCAAGGAGGATGAGAAGCTCGGCTCTACCCTCAGTGCTGCGTCCGCACAAAAGGCCGCTAACAGGGTCGAAGAAATTGACGCGGACTACTTCACTTCTTACGCCTACAACGGTATGATGTCCTTGATCCTGGGGCTGCTTGGTTTCTAATGCTAACGTGCTGCCCATCTAGGAATCCACGAGTCCATGCTCAAGGACACCATCCGCACTGATTCCTACCGCGACTTCGTATATGAGAACAAGCACGTGTTCAAGGATAAGGTTGTCCTCGATGTTGGCTGCGGAACTGGCATTTTGTCCATGTTCTGCGCGAAGGCCGGTGCAAAGAAGGTTATCTCGGTCGATAATTCCAACATTATCGATAGAGCCAAGGAAATCATCTACGAGAATGGATTCGGTGATGTCATAACGTATGTTTCGCAATATCTTGTTTTCTTCTAGTTGCGTGACTGACAGCTGATGCCTAAACTTCTAGGTGCATTCGCGGTAAAATTGAGGAAGTCACGCTGCCAGTTCAGCAAGTTGACATCATTATCTCCGAATGGATGGGCTACGGTCTACTGTTCGAGGCCATGTTTGACTCGGTCATTTACGCTCGGGACCGGTATCTCGCCCCGGGAGGACTCATGGTTCCCTCGCACGCTACACTCCGTGTCGCTCCCTTTGCCGACCCTGACTTCATCGCAAACCACATCTCATTCTGGAAGAGTGTGTACGGCTTCAATATGAGCAGCATGCTGACTGGTATCTATGATGAGGCTCTGGTTCGTGTCGTGGAGCCATCATCGATTCCTGGCCAATCTGCCGTTTTCCTTCCCCTTCCTCTACATACCATCACTGTTGAGGAGCTGTCGTTCTTGAAGGAATTCCAGGTCACTCTTACCGAGGACATTGATGCGCTGGACGGTTTTGCTATCTGGTTCGATATCTTTTTCATGCCTTCGAGGGACTCACCCATTGCCGACGACGCTGTTCCGTCCGAAATGCAGAAGAAGGGTATAGTCGCTTTCACTACGGGACCTTATGGTAAAGAGACGCACTGGCAGCAGAGTATCCTTCTCATCGACCATGAGAAGAGAAAGGGCGTTCCCTTGAAGAAGGGCCAGACCATCACTGGAAAGGTCGGCTACCAAAAGAAGTCGGAGAAGTCCCGCTCCTTGGATATTACCATCGAATGGGATAGCCAGGATGGTGAGAAGGGTTCCCAGAAGTGGGGTCTGCAATAAGTTGCAGGTCTCGTTGCAGACTCATCTCCAGTTTAAGTAGATAGATAGTCTTCAAAATGCGTTAGTCATAGACAAGGCTCGCTACCTGCCTCCATCGACTAAGAGTACGACTCAACGAATGTAGCTTTAGACCGTGTACTAGAGAGTTGTAAGCTGCCCATGAAGCTCTGGTGTGAGTGCGAAGTTGAACCATTCAACGTCTCGATCGGGAGTCTTCGTCATGGCGTCTGGATTCCCTGTGTCGGTGGTGTCGATCATGATGAGAACGATGAGACCGCGAACCAGAATGAGAGGTTCGTCGATGCGAACGATCTCGACTTCTATCTCTACGATGCCGATGGTGTCGATGGGATCTTCCATCCTTGTCATCTCGACGCCTATCCGGGGAAGCATCGAGTCTGAAGCCTTCGATGCTATCCTGCGATGGCGACCTCCTACTGCGATGAGAAGATCGATGCTTCTCCGAAGCCTTCAAAGCTTCCAGCTCTCGACTTCGTTCCTCATTCCACTTTTTCCTCTCCTGCTCAACCGTCTTCAACTGGCGGACGCCCTTTCTCATCGCCGCGAGCGGGTCATTTGCATCCATCCGGGCCTTCTCCCTTTCTCTCCTTAATGGGTCCTCATTTCCCCAGACGTCCTTGCTTGGCATGGATTCAGCTGCTGCGCCCTCGCGGTGCGAAGACGAATACCAAGGGTTTTGGCCAACAGATTGTCGAAACCCAGCCGCATTAGAGAATCGCATCGTGTATTGGTCTTCGAGCTCTCGCTTTTTCTCTTTCGTCTCCTTTTCCGCCTCTGCATTCTTTTCCACGGGCTTGCGCTTCGCCTCTGAAGGAAACAGATCAATGTGACCAGTACTATCATGAAGTGGCGCATCGCTTGACCGAGCTGCGGCTTGCTGCGCCCGTCTATCCAGCGCCAACTGTGCATCCTCTTGTGCAAATCTAATGTCTCTATCCGTGTCATCCTCTCCCGCTAAGCGCCTTCTCTTTCTAAATCGGCCTGCATCTTCTGTATGACTTTTCCTTTCTTGTGGGCGGGCGGACGGCGCTGGGGGCGGCGGAGGTGGTGTTGAAGGCCGTTCGCCGCGGAGTATCTGGATCCTTCGTTCAGCATCAGCTTCTTGCATGAGACGCTCATCCTCCTCTTCTTGGGCTTTGGCCTGAGCCTCGTCGCGCCGAACGCGCTCGATGTTCGCTGGGTTGTAGACGTTCCATGACTTCTTGCCGAGGAGGTGACTGCAAAAGGACACTGTAAGTACTCAGGCATGCTATACAGGGGGAAGCGGGCATACTGACAGAGGCATCTTTAAGGTATGGAAATGTAATGAACCGGTGGGAATGGAGGTGTCAGTTCTCCCTCCGGGGTGCGTGAACGAGAAGCAGCGTCATCCAGACCGGTCGGCGAAGACGGAGGTGGGCGGACCGACCGATGGGGCCGGAACCCTGGGTACCTTACCTACGGTCCATGTGTCGCGGGCGCTGGAGCTTCCCCCCCCATCCAATGTGAGACCGCCACCTCTCATTACTCTTCTTTCTTTCCATCCTCTACCTCACTTCTATTCCATATACTCAGCTGCCTATACTCAACATCACTTTTTGCTTGCGTACTCATATACTATCTAGTCATAATCTGGTCATTTGAGTACTTGGCCTCAAGGCAACAGCTGCTGGCAGCATCGCTTCGCCACGTTCAACCAGCCTATACATACCCTGTTCTTGTCTGGGAACTCATTGCATTTCCTTCCTAATTCGCAACTCGAAGTCATCATCTATCTGACCTGAAGATGTTCAATCGCAACAACTACCCTTCCGTCCCTAATCCTTTCGGCTCCCGCCCCTCTCGAGGCGACGGTTATACCAACCCAGCTCAAGGACAAACCCCCTACCCCTCCAGGTCGGGCGCAAGGTATGGGCCTCACACGGCACCATAATGAAACAACAGTGGTTGATATGCTTGGTAATTAGTCCCGCAGGATATGGAGCGCCACCCCAGTATACCGGAAGACCGCCGCAAATGCCTCCGAGAAACCCCGTTGGAGAGAAGCCCGTGAGCTCAGGCCGATCATGGACGCTGCGTCCTGCCAAGAGCCCGGATAATACGTATACATTCGGGAACTTGTACGTTCAAGTGTGGTCGCTGCCTTGGTTGCCCTTCTTCTAACTGTGTCTAGGGTTGCTGTTTCCGCCCAGGAATTCCCACCCTCCCGCGATGGACACGATCTCCTCCTACTCATCAACGGTCTCTACGTCTTCTCTGCGCGCCCTCTGGATGGGTTCCCACCGGGACAAATCAGCATGTCTGATCCTCAGCGGACATGGGCTGGCGTCGCTTTCACGGATACCGTTTCGGTGCAAATCTACGACCCCTTCAGTCAGGGCGGACAGGCCTACGTCGGTTCTACAGATATTGAGGTTGGGTTTGCTGGGAAGAAGCGGGTCGAGACTCCATATGATCAAGATGAGCTGGCAAGTGTGGTGATCAGGGTACTTTTTCCCATCCCCGGTGGAAGAAAGAGCAGCAACTGATCTGTACAGAACTTCGAAAACCAAATCTTTGCCCCCGGCCAAAAGATTTTGATGGATCATCGAAGCATCCCACTTCTGTTGACCGTCAAAACCGTTCAGAGAGTCGATCTATCCTCTGAGAATGCCAGCGGTGGCAGTGTCGAGACGGATCCTACGGCGCGGGGTATTCTCACCAGGCACTCCCAGATTACATTCTTCAAGGATGCTAGTACTGGTATCAACCTGAAGCCCTCGAACCGCCGACCGGCGGCGAACTCCATCATCCAACCTGACTTCAAGTTCGAGAACATGGGCATTGGCGGTCTTGATTCCGAATTCAGTACTATCTTCCGTCGTGCGTTCGCGTCCCGTATCTTCCCTCCGGGGTTGGTGGAGAAACTGGGACTTCAGCACGTCAAGGGTATCCTGCTTTATGGTCCTCCCGGAACGGGTAAAACCTTGATTGCTCGTCAGATCGGAAAGATGCTCAATGCCCGGGAGCCCAAGGTCATCAACGGACCCGAAGTGCTTAACAAGTATGTTGGTCAGTCCGAAGAAAACATTCGGAAAATGTTCGCAGACGCCGAGAAGGAATACAAAGAAAAGGGAGATGAAAGTGGTCTTCACATCATCATCTTTGATGAACTGGACGCTGTCTGCAAGCAGCGTGGCAGTGGAGCTGGAGGTGGTACTGGTGTTGGTGACAGTGTGGTGAACCAGCTGCTCTCGAAGCTGGATGGTGTGGATCAGCTTAACAATATCCTACTCATTGGAATGACCAACAGAAAGGACATGATTGATGAGGCACTGTTGCGTCCTGGTCGTCTTGAAGTTCATATGGAGATCTCTCTTCCTGATGAGAAAGGCCGCGCCCAGATTCTTAAGATTCACACGCAAAAGATGCGGGATAACGACGTCATGGATGATGATGTCGACCTGGCTGAGCTGGCCCTGATGACCAAGAATTTCTCTGGTGCTGAAATATCTGGTCTTGTGAAGTCCGCATCTTCTTTCGCATTCTCCCGGCATATCAAGGCGGGCACGACAGCCAGCATCAGCGACGATGTCGTGAACATGAAGGTCAACCGGTCCGACTTCCACCATGCGCTCGAAGAGGTCACACCTGCGTTTGGTGTCTCTGAAGAAGAGCTTTCTAGTCGTATTCAACATGGCATCACACACTTTTCGCCCGTGATCAATGAAATCCTCAAGGAGGGCGGCCTGTTCGTCAAGCAAGTTGCTGAGGATGAATCCTCACCTTTGTTCTCGGTGTTGCTACATGGTCCCACTGCAAGTGGCAAAACGGCTCTCGCGGCTCGAATTGCTATAGACTCTGGATTCCCCTTCATTAAGTTGATCAGTCCCGAAGACATGGGAGGCTTCAGCGAAACGGCCAAGGTTCAGCGCATTATCAAAGTCTTCGACGATGCTTATAAGAGTCGCACAAGTGTTGTCGTCATCGATAATCTCGAGAAGCTCATTGAGTGGGTTCCTGTCGGCCCTCGCTTCAGCAACACAATCTTGCAGACTCTGCAGGCCGTGTTGAGGAAACATCCTAACAAGGGTCGCCGGCTCTTGATCATAGCAACCACTACGCAGAGATTTGTGATGAAACAGCTTGATTTGTTCAGCTCCTTTGATGCCGATATCATGGTTCCAAATGTGATGACATACGATGAGCTCAAGCACATCTTGGAGCATTCTGGCGCATTCAACGAGCAGGAAATTGGCCAGGCACTGGCAGGCATTGGCAGTATATCCGATGACGGCACCATTGGAGTTGGTGTGAAGAAGATCTTCAGTGGGATTCAGACGGCTAAGAAAGACGTGGATAAGGTTGGTCGCTTCGTGCAGGTTATCAACAACGCTATCGAGGCAGAGCGTTCTGGTGTTTAGGGAGCGTCTGCTCTTTCTCAAGGTCTGGGACCATCTTAAGATTGTCGCTACGTTGGCTATTCGCTTGTAAGCTTATTTTAGATGTTAAACTTAAACAATAATATGGTTTTCTACTAGACATGGTGCACTACCAGATAGTGTTGTTCCTTGCAGCCGAGGCTTGCCGTGGTCCGAGCCTGGAGACTGTGCACCAGCTGATGGAGTCTTGGTGGCAGTGCGACGAGTCAATAGCGACAGGCGATTGTCGGATCATGTCGAAATTTACAAGGGCTTCAAATGCTTTCAATTGGGTTGCCGCTAAAAGCTCAACTGAATATATGGACCTATTCTCTTACTATTAAAAGCGACCCAACGCCTCTGCAGCTTAAGTCGAGTCGCTCGCTGCCCGCAGTGGCGTAAGAGTAGAATATCACGGAGGCCCTTCACCTCTTGTGACCAGATTCTGATTCAGATATTTTATTCTTATTCCTGCTTATAGACGACATTGATCATCTGGTACTGCGGTTTACTTTGTAGCTACTATTGATCGCGTGCGTGCAAAAGTTATTCTATCTGAACTCCATTAAGCTAGAAGTTAATAAACATTTGAAGGTAAAAACTATATGGTTATAATGATTGATGTAAAATACATATTCTAATGGCTAAATGTAGACATATTATGGTTGAAGGTAAAACTACGATCAGAAATATAAAACCTAGTAGTACGAAAGATCGGTTGATTTAATAGGATTACCAAGTGATAAAGATATATTACGTTTTGCACTATCAATTATATTCGAAAATATAGAATAATGTTTCGAAACATACAGAAAAAGATACTGTAAAAGGGAATGAGCTTTTGAGATCTAGCCTTAAATATAAATGACATTACCTTTCAGAGAACTTCCTTTTCAACGTAGCATTGAGGCTATAGTATTGATGCCTCCGGCTGTTGTAGACGCCTGTTCTCCCTGGAGTACCCTTCGAAGAAGATAATTGGAATGGTTAATGCTAGTATAGAGCCAAGCTAGGATATGTTGGTGGTACAGCATGTCAAAATGTCACACAATCAAGAACAGAACAATATCATCCTACATCTTACTTCTGTGACGATTCTGGCCCTCGCTTTAGCTGTAGGATGAGACTGCTTTGCAATGGTCTTTTTCCTTGCCTTTTTTTTTTTTTTTTTTTTTTTTTTTTTTTTTTTTTTCTTTTTTCTTTTTTCCCATTGTCTGAGTGGAGATTCATATTCCATGTGTTAATCCCAGCCCTCAGTTACATCTTAGTAGCTCAGCGGTCTCAATAACAGTCATTGGCTATTGGGTAGTTATGAGAAGATTCCTGTGGAAGATTCCGACATATTTGCGCTACTTCCGTATCTGAGATTCAAAACTGCAATTTATTCATGCTGAATACTAAACATGGTATTTGCCTAAGCTCTATCATAACATAACTCATTCGGAATTATGCACGATTAAGGCGCCTTGATGCTAGGAAAAGTACACTGCACATGTCGCTGCCGTGCGCAAAAGTGACTGCATAATGTATGGGAGTGAATAACTTACAATAACGTGAATTGTATTCTATCGAGATCTTGTGGCAGGCAACTAATTCCCTCATCCACTTCACTTCGCACCCGCACCTGCCCTCTTCCCTCTTCCCTCTGCCCTCCCATTTCCAACTTCTGTATTTCTTTTGCCTGCTCCACACCTTCCAAAGGTTCTTTCCTTACTACGTTTGCAGTTCTTGCTTCGAACCTTCTAGATTATAACACTCCACACCACCGCAAACGCCACTCTACATATCTACCAACACCGATGGCGGCCTGCACTTTCACGCCCAAACAGATTCTGAAGAAAGAGGTGTCACAGAGAGAATACGAGTTCCTCCAAGAATGGGCCCCCGACACTATCAAGGACTACACCCCGATCAAACCTGGCAATCCGGTAGACAGGATGCCCAAGCATCAGACGATGCCCAGCCAGCCACACGTCCAGAGCCCCCGACGGGCTAAACCTCGCTCGCCTCTCTACGAGGAATGGAAGGCCCAGCCGCTACACAGGGAGACGTTGAACGAGGTTGCAAAATCCCCAGGCGCTTCCGTGAGCATGGAGAACAAAACCAACGGGATGATTCCTCCTGCTCCTACTACAAACGTCAGGGTTAATGGCAGGCATCCTAGTAACTCTTCGGACACAAAGATCCGCCACCAGGAGCCGGTAAAGAGTAGTCCCGTTTTACATAGTAAGTATTAAGTCTCTTTGTGATGCCTCAATATAATAACGATCTCTAATGTTTCGCGCTCTGAATAGATCATTATGCAAAACCCACCGCAAGCACCAACAACCGAGTTATCGCGAACCCTCCTAGTGTGGCACCTAAGCCAGGAGTGCCCAGGCCCGGGCCATACAAGCCTGTGGAACTAAACAACAAGAGGGTCATGGTGAGCCAACGCAGGCCACCTCCACCGCCTTATGTATACATCGCACCCAATCGTAAGCAGTTTCGAAACGATGACTTGATCAGATGGTCGGACGGGATCAAGACTCTGAGCGGTGCTATGGCATACTTTCAACCCAGTTTCATTCAAGACCCGTGGAAGGACTTGAAGCCTGTTGTGACAAACTTCCTTGAGCGATACTGGTAAGACTCCCTTCCAGTGCTTGTTCGAAGTGATCGTTGTCGTGGCGCACTTCTGACATGGATGTATATGAATACAGATCCAGGAGCAGGAGATTCTTGAGATGGTGGGAGTGGTAGGACCCAACTCGAGGTGTGAACGGTATCTACGTTGCTATGTCATGGCTACATGACGTCGTGTGGTTGTCAAGTGATGTGTTGGGAGAATACATGCCGACAACGTTCACCGAGTAGATGAACAAATCATCAATGGGAGAATAAGCGGCACTTGCTGGGAATGGACACTTCCAGACGCTCTAGGAAATTTTGCTTTCATTCCTTTAGTTCAGAAACGGTTAGCAAATGAATAGCCCCTAAGGCAAATTACGTGAACAAGGACATTCGGTTCATTTCAAGTTGATGGGAGCTCTATAAACACTAGAAGGTATGCCAAACAACCACCTCCAAATGCATCATATCAGCGACATTCATAGTTGAGTGTAGATGTATTGAGAGCCGGTAAGGCAGCCCAGATCCAAATATAGCACACCCCTCCACCCCGAGCCCCTGGCCAATTTAGCCCAGGAAAATGAAACATGCTGTACCGACCATCCGGGCAAAGTCAAACACCCTCACCTCGAGAATGAAAAATAGAAAACCAGCGATGAGAATCAAATAGATGCCACACTGAAATATCAGGAAAAAGAAATTATCGTAAGCATCAATCTAGAGATTCATGCGTGGCTAACTCGGTAATAGAGCGTTCCTTCCTTTTTCCGCCAAGCTCTCGACAGTACGCACGACCTATAATGGCAGGTACGGCCATGGTCATTGATAGATCGACTCCTCCTTTGTCCCAAATTGATGGTGGTCTACTTAGGGGTAGATACTTCCGTCTCCCTCTCCGTCTCCCTCACATCTTCGAATCGATTGAACTAGTCGTGCTCATGAATTATTATGGAGCTAATCGATCTATTTCTGTGTTGTTTGCTGATGACTAGTATGTGATTGGTCAGTATAGCCTTTATTTCACGTACTATTGGGCTTCTCTCCCACCCCTAGCCGGGGCATGATGTACTACTCCACGTCGCGGTAGTGGAATCCCCATCCTATGACATCTTACTGCAAGTATTCCACTAACTGTCAAATTGAAGGCTAAAAATAGGGTGACGCATATCAGAAACATTGCATCGTGAAGCTAACACAATATTCTCCACTGTCTAGAGGTCACCAACCATCTATCCACCACACATGACACCTTCCAACACAAATATACATTCTGAGTTTGATCACTATTCACAGTTCCGCTTCGTGCACTGCAGTATTAATAATAGCTTCTGGCTACCATGACAATCATCTTAAGGCCATTGGCTGTGTGACACAGTTGCACGTCGCGGCCTAGAAGCTCCAACCTCACCCTCTATCATGACATGCATGACTAGCCTTAAAGCGGCAACCAGCGCGTCCTAACCATAGGGCGGAGCGGAGCAGGCGGTACAGCGATGTCCGCCGGCGGAGTGGAGTCAGCAGAGGTTCCAGTTCCGCTCATCCAAGGTGGGGGTTCCCAAAGACGTCGGCAGCCGGGAATGACGACAATGGTCCCCCCACCTTCGAGTCATGACTTACATACAGCGGGGTCTGGCAGTCTAAGCTCTAGTCCTCCCAAGAGCTATACGGAGTGTATAATGTATCGCCGAGAATGTCGCTCGTGAGACCCGGGGACATCCCCTGGAATGCACTGCAGGATACCTCAGAGGACCGTGCCACACTCCCCCCACAAGCCCATCCCGCTCTAAGGGTGATTTAATGTGATTCGGGTTGGCACATGACCCAGCCCCTACTCGTCACAAGCCTAATTGTGACTCCCTTTTCACCTGGTTGCTTTGGGCTGATGCACAGTGGGCCGCATTTCTGGCACGTGGATATGACCTTTTGGCTATGATCTCGCCCACCACCGCAAGCGCGACTGCTGTTTATGTTCCAGAGAACCAGTGTTCGAAGTTCGAATGTAATATTTCGCCAGATTCAGCGTACTATTGTATAACGACGCGTCCACCCAAAGGCACGGCGCCCGAGGAAAAAGCAAAAACATGTACCAGTCCAAAATCCCTTCAGTCACGAGATAACGCAAAAAGATCAAGTCGCCCTGCAAAACCCACGCCAGATCCGAACCCAGAGAACCAATTTTACCCTATACAAAACCGTTATCGTCGTTGCCAAATAGAGGTGTGTGCCTCCAAAAACCTGGACCGATGTGAAACCGGACCGAGCCAATATAAGCCCTTAGCTTGGGATTAATTGTCGTCGAAAGTGTACTTCTTGGACGCCCGTCTATACTCGTCGGGGAAATTATTTTCGGCCTTCGCCTTGAGAGCACTATTTACGTGATATGTCAGTATTTGCTGTATTTAGACTAATGGAGGCTTCGGCTGGGCTGCAGCACCTGCTGCAGCAACTGCGCTGCCAAGAAATATTTTGACAGCGGAGCGCAGCGGGCGCCTGTGCTCCCCGCCGGCGGAGCGGAGTCCCTCAGCTGTCGTATTTGTGATACAGGAGGGCTCTTGGGGAAACTTGGAAACTCACTTCACACGCTTCTGAGTCCATTCCAAGTCACGCTTGGTTTCGCGAGCAACTTTGATACCGTCGTTGAAGGTGGCTCGGACTCCTTTTAGACGACGTTGTGCCAGGGCTTGCAATTCCAAAAGCTCTCGCTGTTTGGCGTTCAACTGACCGGAACTAGTCTTACACGTCAGTTTGTTTCCATCTCACTTTTTTTGCATGCCAGGACTCAAAATGGCCCAATTCAAAGGAAGCTGGAACCCCCTCGAATTCGCAAAGAGAAATGCTCACGTTTGTGCCTGTGTTGCCAATCCCCTGTCCAAAGGTGTGGGATCGAAGACGTCCTGCATGCGGTCGTTGAGAACGTCGACGACATCCACGCCAGAATACGAGGCAGAGCTCGTTTCATAATCTCCGCCGATGCTGCCAGAGCTGTAGCTGAAGCCTGCAGAGGTGCGGCTTCCTGCAGTAGTGCTAGTGTCAGAGATATCTGGAGGAGACCCAGAAACCCTGGTAATGGGATAGAGGCTGGCAGGAGCAGGAGCCTTAGAGGGAACATTAATGGGAAGAGAAGGAGACTGATAGTGATGGGTCGCCATGATGATTAGTCTTGTTGCTTGGTTCACAAGACCGTCGAAACGAAGAGAATGGAGGACAATAAGATAAAGACTCTTCAGTCACAATGAAGACTTGCGGTCTAGCTCCGAAGGGATGGAAGTGTATGGGAAGACACAAGGGAAGGATCACGAGTAAGAATGAATGCACGTCAAACTGATAACCGCACTTGATGAGGTAAAAGAGAAAGGAAAAGAAGAGGAAGAGGACGACGAAAGATGAAAAGAGGGTTTATATAGCCTTCACCGGAGGGTCTTCCCTCCGGCGGGAAAGTCCATGACGAGGACTGTGACCTCAATCGAGAGGGGGGATGGGATGGGCGATTGATCCATTGGGCATTGGGCCATCCCCGGAGGTTTCTTTCCCACCCCCCCTTTGACACTCACTTTCCCAATTCCTCCATTTCTCTCCAATCCCAACCCCCCAATTCCGCCCGTCCCTCACTCTCTGGCCGCCAATTCGCTCCTTTCTCCGAATTGACCCCGCTCTGGCTTGGAAAGCGAAATTTTAGGGGAGATCTATGAATGGCCGGAGCCTGGTCCAGGCCGTCCCATACCTCCTCCACTCAGTCCCCAACCCGCGCTCCGTGGCAATTTTTGTCGGGCATCCAGTCTGTCCCAGGTCATATCCCCCATCCTCGGGCTGCAATGGACAATGGGGCCATCGAGGATATAAAAGGGGGCTGTGATGACGGGACGCCAGCTCAAGTGCTTCCGATTCTGATCCTCAGCGGATGTGCGAAGTTACGTATAATTTTTCTTATATTGCGCACTTTTGTTGAACTATTGATCTGTCACAACTCTCTTACCCTTTCTTCTAGCGCTCAGCTCCCGTGAGAGGTTTCTGTTGCCTACCCTTCTTTCGCTCTACCGTTTCATTCTTTCCTCCACCTTCCGAATCCCGTGGGCTACCCATGTGCATCAATATCAGGAGGCTGGGTGGCTGGGAAAGCTTGTGTGCTGCGGCCTGTGGTAGAAGAGCCATTCAACAGAAGGACGACCAACGGCGATAAGAGTTGCGTGACTACGGAATTGCCGAATCATGAGACGACCAATCGCGGTCTTTTCATCAGCTATGCCACCGCTATTTGACCAAACATTGATCAGTTCCCGGCGTTTGTCGTTTCTTTTCCGAAAATTCCTTCCGTTGCTCGACGCAATTCATTTCGATGGATGTGGATACCAGCGGGCTGAAAGCGCTTGCAATCAAACCTTTTCAGCTGGGTTAGTATTATGTTTCCTGTCGAGAGAAACTGGTAACGGGATTTGCATAGCAGAAAATGCATGCAAGGGTACTTCAACACGGGATGTATGAGATATGGAAACTGACAAAATCACAGGATCTACGATGTTTAAGAAAGGGCAGAATCGAGGATCATGGGTTGGCGTTGGACACCTCTGCATATGCCGGAATTAAATTGTGAGGGGGAGAAGGAACGCAGAAAAAAAAACAGAGGAAAAAGAAATGAACGAAAGAGGGCCAGAAGGTGGGTAAAAAACCGAAGGTGGCCTTGCCGCATGCTAGCTATCTCGGCCCAGCAACCTAGAACCTCTCAAGTGGCACGGCAGGGCAGAAATACACCCCTGAAATGGAGAAGAAATCGTGTAACCGACAGGGTTCCTTCCTGGTGCCAGATTGATGACGTGCGAAAGAACGCAAGGCCATCCGAGATTCCGGTACCTGCAAGTGCTTCCCCCTTTCGCTTATCAGCGGCTATGTGTGATGTTTCTTCAATCATAGAAATATCTTCAGTCAATGAGCGAGATTACACACCTGGGGCCTCAACGGGACAAGCGCTCTAAACGCCGCCAACATGGGCAGTTCGACGGCTGATGGGGCCGAGTGGATCTGGAC